TGCCAGAGAAAGTTCCCATATTAGGGCCCAGATATGCACCACTACCCCATCAGTCAGCCAGATCCTGTGTTCTCCTTATAAAGACCACCTTTCCTGTTTTGTGTGATGTAACAGTGTTTATTACACCTTCAAAGAACTCAGTTTCTCCTTTTCTCTCCCCATTATTCCTTAGAAAGCAAATTACTTCGGCTCCCTGCTGCAGGCGTCTACTGTTTGTCTGGGCTCTGGCCTGGAGGGCGAGGTCAACGTGCCCTTCCGTGACCTTCTGCCCATGGTGCACCCTAATGACATCGTCTTTGATGGTAGGTTGAATCCCAGACGTTCACATCATGAGATCACTTCTTAAGACTTGAACGCATGTATAGAAGGAGACACTAGGACAAATGGTTGTAGCAAAACCTTATCTTGAACAGCTTAGGCTTAAAAAGTTAGAAATGAATGTGAGCAGCTGGCTTTATAAGTATAGGCAAGTACTGCTGCTGCTTAGGGAATGTAGCCAGCAGGGGGTGCCCAAGGTCTCCTGACCTCTAAGACCAAATTTATGTCCCACATTGTTTAAATGTGCATTTTTTTGTATAAATTAATTGCTAATATAGCACAGCAAAAGAAGTTAAATGCATGAAGTAGTGCTAGATCCTCAACAAAGGTAGCATAATTTATTCTGCATTTATCTGACAGCTGGTGAATTCATTTGCATACATCAGGTTTTGCATTAGTTCTAGGAAAAGTAAATAAGTCCGTCTCATGATGGGACTGTTTCCAGGTTGGGACATCTCCTCGTTGGATCTGGGCAGAGCGATGGAGCGAGCGCAGGTGCTCGACTGGTCCCTGCAGGAGCAGCTGCGACCATACATGAGCTGCCTCAAACCGAGGCCTTCCATCTATATCCCAGAATTCATTGCAGCCAACCAGGAGAGTCGGGCTGACAATGTCCTCACAGGCACCATGGCAGAGCAGGTACTGGAACACTGCAGCTCCCATTTTCATGAATTACATATTTTGCTTAATGCTGCTTTATTAAAAGGGTGATTGATTTTTCCAGGTGGAGCAGATCAGAGCTGATATTAGAGACTTCCGTCGGTCCAGTGGTGTCGACAAGGTCATAGTTCTGTGGACGGCTAACACAGAGCGCTTCTCCGACATCGTTCCAGGGGTCAACGACACAGCCAAGAACCTGTTGGCTGGAATCCAGGTGAGACAGAGAACCGTACACGTAGCTGCATTGAGCAGCTTCAAACAAAGTCCTCAGTTCTTCTCATCTCTAAGGTGTTTCCTTCTCCTTAGGCTGGAGCAGCAGAAATTTCTCCATCCACGCTTTTTGCTGTGGCCAGTATCCTGGAGGGCTGCGCCTACATCAACGGCTCCCCACAGAACACCTTCGTCCCGGGCGCCATCGAGCTCGCCATGCAGCGAGGCGTCTTCATTGGCGGTGATGACTTTAAGTCCGGCCAGACTAAGATCAAGTCAGTTCTGGTGGACTTCCTGGTCAGCGCAGGTATCAAGGTAAGATTACATTTCGTTTTAGATGCCAAACACTAAAAAGAACTCAAAACAAAGAAGCTTCAATATTTCTGTTTTTCCTTAACAGCCAACGTCCATCGTCAGCTACAATCACCTCGGCAACAACGACGGGAAGAACCTGTCTGCCCCACAGCAGTTCCGCTCTAAGGAAATATCCAAGAGCAACGTGGTGGACGACATGGTCCAGTCCAATCCTGTGCTGTACCAGCCTGGAGAGAAACCTGACCACTGTGTGAGTGAAACAAAAACACAGGCCTGCTGTAACATTTCAGTGGATGCTCACAGAACGCCTCTTAAACATCTCCGTCTGCCTTGCAGGTGGTGATTAAATATGTCCCCTATGTGGGAGACAGCAAGCGTGCCATGGATGAGTACACATCCGAAATAATGATGGGAGGGCTCAACACGATTGCACTTCACAACACCTGCGAGGTTGGTGTCGATCCATTTCTGCATTCACTTCAAATAAGAGACATGTTTCTGGAGAGAGGCTCAGGATCTTGAGGATAATCCGCCTTTTTAAGCCTGAGATTTAATACAAAGAGACACGTGCGGGACACACACCTACTTAGCTCACTCTGTTGAAACACAACAGCTGATGTGTTTCTCTTCGTGTATCAAGTACTTTCACAATAGATCAACATAATTTCTAGGGCGATTATGCTTGGTTTAATTTAAGGGTGTAACAGTGCAAACACTTTAAATGTATATTTTGATAAAAAAAACAAAAAAACAATCTAAATGTTTGGTTCCTTCCGTAAAAGTTTAAAAAAACAATCGACTGGACTTGGTTTCCAAGATTTGAAGACGTTTCGCTACCTCTCCAGGAAGCTTTCTCAATTCAAATGTCTGTATTGTAGAATTGAGAAAGCTTCCTGGAGAGGTAGCGAAACGTCTTCAAATCTTGGAAACCAAGTCCAGTCGATTGTTTTTTTTTAAACTTATATGGAATGACTATGACCTGGATGACTGAGAATCTTCATCAGCATAAATGTTTGGTTCTGAATTGGCTGATTTAAGGACTTGGGTCATATATTGACTTTGTCTCCCTCTAGTGAAAAAAAGATAAAAACGCAATCAGAAAACCTTTAATGTATTATTTGATTCTAATTTAGATAATAATTTTTTTTTTATTTTATTTTTTTTTTTTTGACGCACCTAATATAGTAAATCATCAATATTCCTCCTTGATTCCTAACAGGACTCACTACTGGCCAGCCCCATCATCCTGGACCTGGTAATCCTGACAGAGCTTTGCCAGCGTGTGATGGTCAGGCCTCAGGGAGAGGAGGAATTCCAGTCCTTCCACAGTGTCCTCGCTCTGCTCTCCTTCCTCTGCAAGGCCCCCCTGGTCCCATCAGGGACTCCAGTTGTCAATGCGTTCTTCCGCCAGAGAGCCTGCATAGAAAACATCATGAGGTGTGCATCACTTCCAAAGCAATTTTTTGTTTTGTTTTCTCTCACTTATAGGCATGTTAAGTTAAACTCAATCATTCACTCATGTTCTTATTTATCCCTTGCCTTTTCCAGAGCGTGCATTGGTCTCCCTCCTCAGAACCACATGCTGCTGGAGCACAAGCTGCAGAGAAACTTCCTAACACAACACACTAACTACATAAGCAACGACGTGGCTACACTAAAAAAAGTTGCTCTGGCCAATGGGAACCACATCCCTGTAGCGCTGACCAATGGCATTTATACCCAGGAGAGCCACACAGCTTGTGCTATGTGATGCTACATACTGCCCTGAAGCCCAAATTGGACTGCTGTAAATCTTAAAGCATTGTTTGAGATGAACAACCACTCTGATCAAATACAGAAAAATTAACTAAACCTGCTTGAGAATAGGGACCGTTATTTAGATCTTTTGGAAACTCCAACAAACAATTGACCAAATCTGTTTATGTAGGCTATTCTAACAATTTCAAACATTTCAAAAGTTTTTGTAAAATATTTTATGATCTTTTTATGAGTTTACAAGGTAGGCTTATGTTCCAATGCAGATAAGTTTTCACTTCAGTGCAATGTTTGTGTGTAAATGTACTGTATGGGTATCTGTGAAAACAGATGTTTTACAAACACAATGTGGATATTATAGCTAGTAGCTACTGTATTGCTGCTATTTGAGTGGACACTGTGTGACGGGCATGACAAGAGAGGAATCTTGCATTCACTGATTTATTTTTTGATATCTTTGTCTGCTGTGTTGTAGAATTGCATAACTTTTTTGTGTAGAATTGATTATTTTTCAATAAACTTTGAATTTAAGACTTAAGGTTTTCTTAAATGTGTCTTTTTTTTCTTTTTGAGGCACCTACAGTTGGGTCATGAGTTTTAAAAACAATGTTAGCACAATTAATAATCATAATGTAAGTCTTGCTAGCCTATTCATTAATATCACCAAATGCAATGTTTATGATATAAATATTTCAAATTGGCAAATGATTGCATTCTTGCAGGGAACTGGAACTGTACAGACTCCTTAATATCTTAATTAAGGGACAAATGTGCATTACCCCCTACTAATAACTTAAAAGAATATGCATAATCAATCTGGAAATAAAATAAAAAAGGAAATTACAGCTTCATGTCAATTCTGAAAATAAATGTTCCCACCTTCATAATTTAGGATTATCTCATTTTAATCACCAACATAATTAAACAGGGCCAACAGTATTTTCAGATACAGAAACAGGTTTTAAGAGAGAATATCTGCCAATCTATGTAGAACATTTTCAGTTTTGCACAAATTATGTATTGATTAAAAAAATTAAATGAAATGCACAGTAACTGTTTGGCATGACATAGTTCAGAAAATATAAAGCTAACTAAAAAAGACTCAGCATCACAACTCATCTATGATAAGATACCATGTCTTAAAATCAAATCCCATTGTCTCTTAGCAAAGGGACTGAGAGCTTTGCATGGTCAGGTTTATAGTCCTGAGAGTTTAACACTGCAGAAAGCATCATGACTCTCATCTCCATCATCATTTATATAAATATATTCAACTCCATTGTCTTTAACACAGCACCACTGATTCCCTAATGTCTAAAATGTGGCTGTTTTCAGAAGCAAATAAAGAATAACAGGTGCTTTAAAAAGATGGAGACATTTTTCATACATTCGATCACAAATGAAGCTTTGAAGCAGCTGTTGGATTTATTTCAGTGTCTTTAACACTTTAACATTATGCCTTATCCTATTATAGGATGATATTAAGACACTTCTAGGAGATAAGTTTTATTCATTATTAAAGATTCGAATTTGGTATAACAAAAAGGATTTCATATAAAAAAATTTAAAATATGCATGTTTTGATTGAGCAAAGTATGTAAAATAGATAAACACTGAAAAACTAACAAACAATAACAAATAAGATGAGAGAATGTTAGAGCAATATGTCATTATACTTAAGGACTTTCATTTTGGAAATTAATTATAGATATATTCCTGCACTACTTGGGGTTTTTGGTAGTTACAATCTATAAGTAACAACTGTGTAATAAGCATGTCTGTGAGAGGGGTGAGAACTGCTTCCTTCTTCCGGACCGGTCCTACGTCACTTCCGCTGCCGTTGCTGCGACACGGGACATCAACAGCTATGGCTGACAAGGAGAAGCGCCGGTCTGCGGCTCCTCTTTCGGGTGCGGGCAAAGCCGTCAAATCGGACGGTGACAGGGACTTCCTGGAGCAGACCGGTGTGGGAGAGCTGCTCCAGGGGGCGATCCTGAAAATGGTCGAGGCCAGGTCGGATGATCCCATCGGGTTCCTGGCCGACCACTTCTGCAATCTGGCGTCCGTTACTGACAGCGGCTCTTCTGGATGCGGAGAGGAGCAGCAGCGGAGCAGCGGCGCTGCGGGCGCAGGCGAGCAGGAACAGCAGCGTCTGAACCGGGCGCTGTGGCACCTGCGGCTGGCGCATCACTCTCAGAGGTCAGAGTTCATCCATTTAAGCAGCAGTGGCGATTATAGGCCAATATTACCGGGGCGGAGTGGGGCCATTATTTATTCATTGGAGCATCATGCAAAAAAAAAAAAAAAAAGTTAAGAATTTGCTGTATAAAACAGCCATTTGCAGCTACAATCTAGAAACTAAAAGTGCAACAACTTAATTTTCCATCCATCCATGTTCTGTCAGGCTTATCCCAAGTAGGGTCACGAGGGATGCTGGTGAACAACTTAATTACGCATTAATAATTAAAATAAAACTGTAAACATACATGAAATTGGAAATTGGAACTTATCAATGGAAATTTCTGCTCTAGCATAACATCATTTATTTGTCATCAATTTAACTTGCATTATGTCCTCAGTACAGGGGCCAGTTTATTAGGAGCACTGCCCATGAGTATTGACATCCATACTGATTAGACTGACTACTTTTCTTTGGACAACTTTTACTTCCTTGCTAAACAGCAAAACAAATCTGGTATCTGAATCCAACCAATTTTCCATCACGTTTATCACAAGAGGTGCTGGTGCCTGAGAGGCAGGGTACACCCTGGACAGGTCGGCAGTCCACCGCAGGGCAACATAGAGACAAACAACCATTCACTCACACACACCTAAGAAGGATTTAGAGAAGCCAATTAACCTAACAGTCATGATTTTGGACTGTGGGAGGAAGCCGGAGTACCTGGAGAGAACCCACGCATGCCTAGGGAGAACATGTAAACTACATGGAGAAAGACCCCAAGCCGGGATTCAAACCTGGAACCTTCTTGCTGAAAGCCAGCAGAATTCACCACTGTTCTAAGTGGCACAATGATAAATACCAATAAAGTAAAAATTATTATAGATATAGTATTAAAGATACTTGTCTTCACTTTACAGACATATTACAGAGTCTCTTGCCAGAGCCTTACTGGGATAGATCAATGTCATTTCTTTTTTGTTTTGGGGGGAACAGTGATTGAAATGACTCAGAAGCTGCTGGGCTTTGGGTAAACAACACTGGATCAAAGTATGTTACAGAATGGCAGATTTTAGAAGATTAAAAAACGATTTATGTTTATAGCTATAATGTTTCAAAAGTTTTTAAGGGTTAAAAGCATTTTCTGCGTTTTTTTGTAATAGAAAAAAAAAACAAAAAAAAAACAATTGAATGCTTCAGTATATTCAATCATTGACACACTCAGATATGTATTAGCTTTGAAAAAAATAACCTCTATGATGGATTTTTTTTGAGCAACATTTAATTTTGTATTTATTTAAAGGTATAGGGGAGGATTTTTGCGAATTTTTGAAAAGACCAGCCCCCTCCACTTTAAAAAAAATTAGGACATGCACAACCCTGTACCGGCTCCTGAGAGGGAACACATAGTAAACGCGTGTGAGAGCTTAATTTCCAAAAGAATATTTGCGATTTTTCCTCTATGTCAGACTCACTGCTGGTAAGTGAAAATGTGGACGGCCTTACGTAAAAATATCAACACAATGAATAACAATTAGTCTTATTTGGATGATCCACCTGGAAAAAGGACATCTTCCACTATACCTTTAAGCCCTTTTGTCAGAAACACTGAAACAATAGTGTTTAACCACCTTTTGTGTTGGTGTTATTTGTCTGCTGAGTGAGCCCTCTGTCTTTGAGATCTTTGTTTTTCGTAGTTTTGATGGATTGATTTTAATTTCAGGTCAGCTTTTAGCAACAACGTCCGTGTGGCCTATGATCTGCTCAACCTGAATGGCTGTCAAAGACATGCAGTTGAGGCTGATGGCTCCTGCCCTGATATCCGTACTGAAGTAGGAGGAGGAGTAAAAGGAGGCCTCTACACACAGACTCTGCAGTGCCTCTGCAGTGAAGGAGGAGTACCTGCCTCCACATCCGCCCCGCTGCTTCAACGCCTCTGCTGCCAGGACCACGAAGCCGTCCCTTATGATGTCTTCCGCCACGGAGTGCTCACCTGTGCTGTTTTCTCAGACTACATCCGGCAGGCTCAGAGGCTTTACGCCGAGGTGTGCTGCCCCGATGAGGGGCCTGCCTCCCAGGCGCTCTGCCTTGCAGTGCTTGGGACCTTAAAGGAAGCTCTTGAGACATCCCAGGGGCAAGATGCAAACTGTTTGGCTAATGCCAACACCAAATCTAATGTGTGTTTGGATAAAAAAGCAAAGGCTATCTGCTACTTGGAGGCCAGTGCCAAGATCTCCCCCCACAAAGTGGCACAAGCCATGGTGGGGGCACAGACCCGCTGCCCCGGTGGCGACATGGACGCAAAGGAGTTTGAAAACGCTGCTGCAGACCTGTTCATCGACCGTGTGAAAGTTGTAGCTTAGAGTTACGTATAAATCGTGAATGTACAGCATTAGACTATATAAGTCCTTAGATTGTATTCCCCTCTAATAAAACCTTATGAAAACATATTTGCTGACTTTTATGATACTTTCTTTAATAAGCTCCTGTAAGTATTTACCTTAAAGTATTATTCAATGAAATTGATAGTTTCTGAAAGTAGAATCGCTTGTTGAGCATCTAGATCACAGATTCTCATAGAGAAAGTCTGCAAGTCTGGGATCTGTTGGCTAAGTCACTAAAGAAAACAAAACTTCTTACCTATCGCCACTGCAGGATTTGTCAAAGGTTGTGGATTAATGATGCAGTTCATTATCACTCAGAATTTAAAATGTCCCATTTGGAAAAATATCAATGTCCATTAATTGTTTGTTTTTGTTTTTTATATTATAGAGGTCGTCTCGTTGAGATCCAATACCTTGTTTATGAGAGAGACCAGTTTGGACTAAAATAAGATGACAAACACAGCAACAAAACAAGTGATTCAAGGTTTGACTGATAATAAAATGAGCAGAAAACAAGTTTCACAGGAAGATTTCTCTTTCTTTCTTAACAGAGACTTGAATTGTCCCAAAGGAATCTAGATGTAAATCTTTAGATCATGTTGCTGAATATTCCATGTTTATGCAGCAGAGTTCTGACTGTATTGATGGAATAGGGAAGGAGATCAAATCCTGTGAGAGTAGCCTTTCTATTTGAGAGGTATGAGAAAATGTCCGGCAGAAACAGTGCAAGGATAGTCATATGGATAAAAATGTACCAAAGTATGAGTCTACAAATTGATGATGATGACCATCTCACCTGAGAATATAAATGACGGAGGTGAGCGAAAGCAGCCTCAATGATCTCTAATGGTTTTACTGGATATGTTTTTTTTATGTACCCGTCTTTATTTTAATTTATTTTATCTATGTTTTTTTAGGTTACTTTGCTACCTGTTGGCCAGGACTCCCTTGAAAAATAGGTTTTTAACCCGTTAAAAAAAGGTAAAAAAATAAATAAATAAAATGTCTACTAGTTGACCTGCTTTCACTTGGCCGCTAGATGGCAGCACCGTTTAGAAACGCACATTTGATGCCAAAGGCGGAAGTAAACATAAAGGAAGAATAGTAGCTCTTGTTTACTGCCTGTTTGATTCCTCAGGATGGAAGAAGAGGAGCAGCAGCAGCGTTCATTAATGTTTCTCCTGACTTACATGCTGCTGAAGCGCAGGAGGGATCTAAACAACGCAGACGCTCAGAGACGCAGTGAAATCCAGAGGCGCATCCGGCATCGGCAGTATTTCTTCCAGAGACAGAGGAGGATGCTGATGGTCAGTGCTTTCTGCTGCTGGCTGCTCCATAGTGGAGCAGCTGCAGCTGTGATCATTAGCCTGAAATGCTGCATCCACACATGAGCCTCTGGGATACTGAGATAGCCAATTTGTGTTTAGTCTCACTTAATGTTTATTTTTTTAGGGTATTTTTCTACCAGTTTTGGACATTTGGAGGCTAAAATTTTGCGTCAAATTCTATGCAGAGCATTTGTGAACTTATTTTTCACTCATTCCACTGATATAGAATTTAACTCTGGACTGATTAGGCCCTCTACCCAAACCATCCCATCCAGATGATGGTTGTTGTCCTGCTGGATGGTGAGCTTGTGATCTTTTAAACATCACATAATATTTTCCTCCATCATTTCCATGTATTTAGGTTAACTCTTTATTTCACTCGGTGAAATACTTTTAATTTCAAGCCAATAGTGTTATTGGGATCCAGGACAAGACCTTATTACTTTTGTAACATTAAAAAAATATTTATATTGGGCTGGCAAAAATATATGTCAATGTAACACCAACTTGCCCAAATATATGAAGAAAAATAACTAAAGTTTTTCTATAAGAAATTCATGAAAAACACTCAGAGTGTACAACATAACCTTAGAGGCATTAATGGTGATACTGGCACTTAGATTTTTTAGTTTATAAACCTAAATATAATTGTTAACTAGGCTTATTAATTTTTAACTTTTCAATCAGCTTTTTACCTTTTTTTTTTACCTTCATTTACAGTAGGTAAAATATCATTCAAGGGCTCATCTAATTGGTCAAATGCCAAAATAAGTTGTACAGCCATGTAACAGGATCTGTTCTGAATAGCTAGATATAGATCTTGTGCTTCTAGACCTCACTGAGGGATGGGGGGGACTCCATTTGTAAGGGGTATGCAAGTGATCATAAACAGTAACTTGCTCTATAAAGGGCTAAAGTATCTCACTAGAAGAGGCTGTGATAAATCTGTTTTATGTTGAGGTATAAGTGTGTTATATAGCCATTGAACACCTGCTGATTCAGCTTAAAAAAATGTTGTCTTGTTTTCTTTCAGTCATTTTTAAAATGCTTTATTTTAGGGCGGAAACAATTAATCGGATTAATTATTTATAGACTGTGCAATATATGTGAATATAATAGTCATACCACTACCTCACCGTTGCTCCTTACCTACTACACTTTAACGTTAAAGTCAATCCACCTGTATATAAGCCATCCGGATTGTACATATGACGCCTCAAATCTCTGTGCTACTCCCTTGTATTTTTTTATTTCTTATTTTTATTAGTTTTAGTTAGTTTTTTGGTTGTGATACATGTACACTTGCACCTTAATCCTTATTTATCTTGATATACTGTATATATATTGTTTATTCTTAATGCACCTTTTTCTTCCTTGTTTGCACCTTCTTTTATTACTATGCCATTATGTGACCAGTGAATTTCTCTGCTGTGAGATCAATAAAGCTCATCTAATCTAATCTAATCTAATCTAATTGTAATTAATCGGTTTTTAAAACAATCATCAATATTTTAGTAATTGATTAATTGTTAAATGGAGTATAGAGTCTGTAAAATAGGCCTTTTGCTGACAGAGCGACCTACTTAAAGCAGTCTCTATATCAAAGTTGTAAAAAATATATAAATATTTTGCATTTAAGAAATTAAGATAGAAAAACATTTTTTTGTCTGTCAATATGTTCAATCTAGAACTGCTCAAATGGAAACATTTTAGTTTAACCTGGACTAATTTAGTAAAAAAATCTTTTTTAAATAACCTTTGGTTGTCAGATTATTAATCGAAAAAAAGACAGATTAATCGATTTACAAAATAATTGTTAGTTGCTGCCCTACTTTATTTTCCACACTGTACAAAAGGGCAAATTAGCAGAAATCTAAATGTTAAGGCAACAAAATTCCTCAATTATTTAAGTTCAGGACCTTAACTAAAGTTTAACAAACTGTGAATTCTATGTCATTGTAACTTGAAATTCAGATTAAAAAAAAATTCTGAGCTATGACTTAGAAAGGTGATATAGTTTTGAACCTCCGACCCTAAGTTGCTCCCAGAAGAAAACGCTTTGCTCATTAACCACCATGCTACGCCACAGCATCACTGATCCAGGGAAACCTTTAAAATACCTGAACTTGAAACTCAAATGAGAAAGAAATACGGCTTTATTATAATTGTAGATAACATAAGATATTATTCTGATTGGCAGAATCTTGTTAGCATCATTTCACTAGTTTCTTTTCCCACATTATTTCACAACCAAAACCTGAAAGTTAGCAGAACTTTCACCATTTGAAATGACCAACAACTTATAGGTAAGCAGGCTTATATCGTTTTTCCCATGTTTAAAACATACAGTGCAGAGTTACCACTTGCCCCTGGTCTTAAATAAAGATTTAATTCCAAGCACATGGGCCATATTTACTTGATAAGTGGCTCCTGTGACCAGTTGGTTAAATGAATTCTTGGTGATCAGTAAAATCACCATGAAATTATTGTTGTTTTTTTTTTTTTTTATTGGAACAAACTTCAGGGTATGAATACTTTTGTAAACCGCATCTAAAGCTATAACTAAATAGACAAAGAAAATACTTGATTGATGACTCGTTTAGACTCTTTAAGGGGCTGGAGCTGGTCTCAGCCTGACTGAAGGAGAGCAGATAGAGGAACCCTGTTTATCCTGATGATGATCAGCTGATTCAAAGCTTCTTTTCTGTTTTTCCCCACAGATGATGATCGCAGGAGGAATCCGCTCCAACATCCGCATGCGCACCCGGCCCTGGACCAACACTCCCCGCTCTGACTGGTGGGAGCGGGTGGTGATGACGGAATTCCAGCCCTCTGATTGGCTGGATAAGTTTCGGATGAGCCGGGAGACCTTCTTCTACCTCTGCGACAGGCTGAGGCCCCGTCTAGCTCGCCAGGACACCAGCTTCCGCCTGGCGCTGCCGGTGGAGAAGCGTGTGGCCGTGGCCCTGTGGCGCCTCGCGTCCAACGTGGAGTACCGCACCATCAGCACCCTGTTTGGCGTGGGGAAGTCCACTGTGTGTAGGTGTGTTAGAGACATGTGCCACGCCATCGTGGCTCTCCTCAGCTCCACCTATCTGCGGACACCCACCGAGCAGGAGCTGGAGGAATCGGCTCAGCTCTTTCACTCGTTCTCTGGCTTCCCACATTGTGTTGCTGCTATCACAACACTACACACAGCTATCATCACCCCATCGAGCAACGCGTCTGACTACGCCAACCCTGCAGGCTGGCTCTCTGTCCTCTCTCAGGTACGGAAAGCTGATTTAGATTTAGATTGTTTGCTTTATTATTATTATTTTTTTACAAATTTTTTTTCTTTCTCCCGCGATCCAGGTGGCTATCAGCGGCCGAGGGCACTTCTGGGATGTGTGTGCCAGTTTCCCAGGTGGGACAGATCCAGCTGAGATCTTACAAAACTCATCTTTGTGGTTCACAGCTGCAGAAGGTGGACTCTCACCTGCCACAACACCCATCTTCATGGGGAAACAACTAAGGTAAAGTTAGTTGGAAGGAAGAAAAAAAACTTTCCATCACACAAAAAGCTCCAACTTCTTGCTTTAATTATATTTCAGTTACAAGCAACTCTAACCTGATGGTTGAAAATGCATTTTCTGTAGCCATCAAAACACTTTTCCCATGTTTTCCTCTGTCAGCAGGTTTGAAGGATGTAAACTTGCTTTTCATGTCCTACATTCAAATTTTAATTAATGTAAATGACAGTTTGAAGTCTGGCCAAGAAAGGCTAAAAAAAGGCAGTAAGACAATCATCCATACCATGGGATGGGGATGTTCAGCAGTGATTAGCAGAGAAGCAGTAGCAGAAAGTGCAGATCTCCAATCTAACCAGGCAAATAGAGAGACAATAAAGCATTAATGGTTAATTGAAGCCTGTGATCAGAGAGAACCCATACATGCATAAAGAAAATATGCAAATTCTATGCAGAGAGGATTAGAACTCGGAAGCTTTATGCTGTATTTCAGCAGTGCTACCAACCATTGGACAGGTCTATGGAGCTAAATTAGGGCCTTAAAATAAAAACTTGGGGAAAGAAACAGGCTTTTTCAAAAGAAAAAAAAAATAACTAAAAAAGTAACAGTTTCTTCATAAGAAAAACTATTTTACGAATTTTTTTATATTATAGATTATATTATAGAAATATATATATTATATTATAGATTATATTATAGAAACTTAAAGATCTATTTTTTGGCTTCATGCTTCTAACCATATTTTGGCGAGGGGAGCAGGGCCTGTGGTGTGAATCATGACTACCAACTCAACACAGAAGCCGAACAACCTATTCCCAGCTGTTGCATTCAGGGACAGTGGGAACCAGAAATGTCTGTAAAACATAAATATTCTATTTGTATGTGATTGTTTTTTTTAAAAATTACATGCTTCATGGATAAGAGTCAAAAGATTTTTTTTGCTGTTGATAAACTTTTTCTTTCACGTTTACTTTTTTTTTTTTTCCCATGGCCCCAATTTAGTTCCATACATTAATTGAAGGAAAGTAGCTGGTGGAAAAACAAATCCATAACTTTTAAATTAAAAAAATTTAAAAAGATTCCAAACATGAGACAAGAAAATGTAAGTATAAAAAAAAAAACTCTGGTTTTCAGTACTTTCTAAAATGGCGTATGCAATTACTTGTCACTTGTTATGAAACCCAGTGGTCCCTATGACACATCCAGCATTGAATCTTGGTTTTTTGACACCATTTTTTTAAAAGCCGCTTCCACCATTCTAAGAAACTCCTCTCAAAAATGTTTTACTACTGCATTTTTGCACCATAAATAATTATTTTTTTTTCACTGCTCTTAACGTCCACATCAATGCCTTTCATCATTCACTGATTATTGTAACATGCTATAATTCATAGTCAGACCAGCTGCTCTCTCTTACTTTAACCTGTCCAAAATTTAGCTGCTCATCCTCTAACTTTTATTTTTAGTGACCAAATCCGGCACTGAGGAACCTAAAGACTGTTTTGTTCTCTGACTGGACTCCACCTATTTTCTACAGGTATGTGCTGCTGGGGGAGGCCTGCTACCCTCTTCAGAGCTGGCTGATGAAAGCGTATTCGGAGCCAAAGAGCCAGAGGGGATGCCGCGTAGAGCTGACGGAGCCGCAGCAGCTCTTCAACCGCGGCCTCAACAGAGCGCTGCGTGCCACGGAGGAGGTGCTGCTGAGGCTCAGGGCACGCTGGCAGTGCCTGAGCAAGAGGAACGACTGCGGGCTGGACGTGGTCCCCACCATGATCCTTGCCTGTTGCATCCTGCACAACATGTGCGAGTCCCATGGGGATTCCTTTAAAGCGGAGTGGCAGGAGGAGGTGTGCGGGGCAGAGAACCCGCAGCCTGGCTACAAACCCTCAGCCCCGAGCAGCACGGACCAAATCGGTGCTGAGGAGGTCAGGGGCCTCTTCTGTGACTATTTCCAGCTGCAAAGCACCTGACTACAGTCAATGAAAAACGAGATGGAATCAGTTTGTCATTATGAAACACAGTATATAAACTACTGAAACTGTCCATAATGCATTTAATGCCTTAGCACTATTTTAGATGTGGGTCAAAAATGCTATTGTGTGATATCTTAACTTCAAACCTCAGTGTTGAGTTATGTGTCTGTATTTCAATGTTTGATCCTTTTGGCTTCCAATAAGGCCAGATCAGAACCATCCTTCTGCAGAACTATGCAGTTGTTAAATGTACAGCTTGTACCTGTTGTTTTAAACATGGAGTATGTCAGGTCAAAGCTATTTGTGTGTATACTACCAGATAATCACAAGTGCATTGATGCAGTTGCTCAAATGATCCTACTACTACTTCAGTGTTTAAAACTTTAACAATTTAAAACTTAAAAAAATAAACAGTATTATTTGGGATTCCATGTAATAAAAAAGACAACACAAGAGTGGATGGTTTTGAAACTGAAGAAAAAGGATGCATGCTCTCAAAAAACTAAATTTCTTTGCTGTAGGTCTTGGCCAATTTTGCATATCTAGAGGTTGAATTTTTTTGGCCATCCTATTTTGCAAAACGCCTCAAATTCAGCACATCGCCGGCTGTAGTTTAACCGTCGTTGTCCAGCTGATGGGTAAACCTCCACTGCAATAGTTTGCAGCTTTTAGTTGCTTTGTTTCTCAGATTTTGCCCTTTGTTTGGTTCCTCATTGCTCCCTCATCTTTGACTGGTTTTCCTTTCCTTGTTGAAGAAAATCATGTCCACAGCACCGCAGCTCTGATGCTGCAGTGAATTAAAACAGAACAATGATGGACTCCTGGATTACAATTTAAGCGGCTTTAAGGGAGGTATTTGGTTGCATGGAATTTTATCTAGGAGTATCAAAGTAGCTGGAGAAACGATTATCATTCTTTTAAGATTTCTATATTAAAAGTGAAAGTCATGTAAAATTAACATTTGCTAACTTAACGGTTTCTCTTGCTGTGATCACACAAAGATATATAAAGTCAGTACAATTAAAAATTCCAAAATTACAGTCCCTTTTTTTTTTTTTTTTAACAAGAAAGAAAAAGGAAAAAGAAAAACCGGTACAACTTGATCAAACTAAGGCGAGCACAGGATTAGGAAGATTTCTGTTAATGGCATCATCCCAAATATTTTGTGTCAACTGGATTCCCAACTCTTTATCCCATGCATCTCCAAGTTTGACATGAGAATCAACCCTTAGATTTAAAATCAAACTATAAATCTTTGAAATCGTACCTTTTTGAACTGGATGATCCGCAATACTTTTTTCACAGAGCTGTTCAGGAAGTATAGAAGGAAAATTTGGGAAACATTTGGAGGCGAAATTACGAACGAAATAGATGCGCAGCAGGTAAACTATATTTGGAAATAATTATTGTTAATCAGCTCCTCATATTTAAATTATTGAACAAAATTCATTTATTAGTATATAAATTTAGAATATAAACCATGAATATGAAACTACGAATTGGCTTATTTATTAATCAAAATTTAAAATATGAGGGACTTCATAGACTAAGTTAATTAGGAAACATTTTTTGTGAATGAATCTTGTGTAGTTCTTCCCCCTGGCCTCCAGATGTCGCTGCAGTCCCAGAACACCTTTACCTTCTGGTCGGAGCTGCTCCTTCAGTTCCGCTCAAATATCATTTCATTTACACCACATCTTCCCAGTTTGACAAAACAACTTATTTTAAAAACAACATACCAGTTCTACATTTACATTACAGGTCGCATATGATTTTTGACCATTTTCGCATGCCATTAGCGTAGGCTGGGGGTGTTTGGATCCAAATCCCACCCAGAGACCCGCCTCGCTCATTCAATTGGTCTGCCCCAAACCTGTTTCCAGCAGTCCGCCGTCTGTCACTCACCGTCGCGCTTCCCTCCTCCGCCTCGCTTGGCAGCATCCAGGAGTGTGCCCACCTTATTCCTGCGACGGTCTTTTGATGTGAACATATTTACAGCAAAGAGCCGCCGTTTCGGCACGCGTTTATTTTCCGGTTTCCCGGTAATTATTCGGAGCTTTTTGCACTAGCTTTGTCACTTTCAGTCGGGATGAGTCAGGATGTAACTGGGTGTTGTCCTGTTGTTTTTTTAAGCTAGGCGGCCAAATTCCTTCAACCAGCCTGCTGCTTCAATCACTGCGGGCTGTCACTACGTTAGCCTTTAGTCGGACGAGCTAGCGGACTAGCAGGGCGAGCGCTCCCCGACTGGTTTTCGGGCCTAATTTAGGAAGGGTTGTTGGAATAACGCTGGGGAGGCTGTAGACACGTTGGCTGTCACAGGTTTGGATGCTGCAGCGTTGAAGCCACTCTCGGCAGATGGTGAGGATTGAATTGGAAAAGGCAGAAAATAAAACCTAAAGGCAGCCGTTAGTAACAAAATAAAAAAAAAAAAAGAAAAAAAAAGGAAAAGGCTGGTTCAGCTTCCTTTCCAGTGTGAATCTCCTGTGATTTACGGTGGAACATCCGGGTGAAGTCTCAGTTCTTCCCGGCTGGGGGGACAACTTGACAGCGAGGCCCCTTGGCTAAGTCTCCCCTCCCCCAGCCCCCGACCATCCATCCATCCATCCGCCCGTGCAGTCCAGGCCAGGCCAAGCCGACTGACCACCACCTCCTCCCCGCTTCGCTTGAGGGCCCGGGGATTCGGGAGAAACTGAAACCGTGAGCCAGCGTTGGTCAGGGTCCCGTTTGAACCGGGCTGCCACAACCAGAGGGGATGACTCTGGAGTCCATGATGGCTTGCTGCCTGAGCGAGGAGGCGAAGGAGTCGAAACGAATCAATGCAGAAATTGACAAACAGCTCCGCCGCGACAAGCGGGACTCCAGGAGGGAGCTGAAGCTGCTGCTGCTCGGTAGGTAGCATGGAAACCTTCCAGCACCGTTATGGCATGGAGTGTTTGGTGTTGCTGTGTAGACGACATGCCGTCTGAGGCCCTTTAGTGCTAACCGACATGCTACCAACGCTGCTAGCTGGTAGGCAGTCCCTGTGGGAGACTTTCAATGTCATTTATTTATTTTTTTAAAGGCCGAAGAGGTTTATTGTATGGGTGGTTTATTTTAATTAACAATGGGGGTTTAAAATGGCCATGTGCGATTCCTTTAAAAGCACGGACCAAATGTGAAACGAAGGTTTTTGGGCACAGAGGTGGAAAAGCCACCTTACATGATCCACTAAAGATAAAGTTTGGGGAAAAAAAATGCATGTTTTTTTTCACCAGCTTCCCTTGTTGAATAATTTAATCTATACTTTGGGTTTAAATGGTGCAAATTTAAATAATAAAATAATCTTTTGTATGAGTTTCTTAAAAAGGCAATCATACTTAAAATGCTCTGATCAGCTTTTTCCTTGCTGATATTAATGTTTAATTAATTTATTTAGTTTTTTTTTCACAGCATTTGACTTATTGCCATACAGGTTCTTTGGAGGTATTAGTTTTGATTTAAACTATAAGGAATTACATGATTATCCCCATTAACACTATATGTCACTGCAATTAGTTATGATTTATTTCTAAGTGCATCAGATCAAAGATCAAGGTTCTTTTTGGCCAACACAAGATTGAGCTACCAGATCTGATTATATCAATTCAGATTTTTATTGGGGTTAATCTTGTCCTTTGTCAATAAATGCTAAAAAAGCAGATTTTTGTGGGTTTGACATGCTGAGCCAATTAAAATACAATACTTTTCTGGTTTCATGTGGTTTAATCTTTCTGCATTTTAACCACAACGTTTAAAAATAGTTTCCTTCGAATTTCTAGAAGTCTAATTCTACCCTGCAAGACATGAATAAAATGTCTAAAGCCTTGCTATTTCTTGACGACATCAGTATAGCAGAAGAGTTTTGATGCAGTTCCTTTGCACCAAGAGTATTTGAGAATATTTCATTGGTCTTTTATCTAAAATTAAAAAATTTCTAAAGCACAACTGAGCTCATAGCAAAAATGTTTTAATTGTTTGCTCTTAAGCTAAAGTTATGCTTCGGCATTTTTTTCCCCTTTTTTCACATATTGGATAAACCTAAAAGAGGTATTTAGTTGTCACTTGCAGTGCATTGAAACAATGAGCTGGGTAGAACTAGAAGATAAAAGTTTTTTTTTTTTTTTTTAAGTGAGTTTCTTTCATTGTGTGTGTGTGTTGTTTTTTTATTGTTGTTTTTTGGTATATTTAATTTTCTTATTATTAATGATATTTTGAAATCTTTCTATATCTTTTTTGCACAGTTGTTTTTAACAAACGTAATATAAAACAGAATCCATTCTATAAGCATAACTTAGAGTTAATAGAGTGTGCTGATGGGAAAAAAATAAGCAATGCACTAACAATATGTGAGTGACACATTGTGACAAGCGTTGAATTTTTTTGGGCAACAGCTTCAGTTTGCAATGATACATTTTCCACACATATTTTATCAAAGAATTTGACTAACTGTGCAGAATATGCAAACGGTAACAAACTGCACACTTTAAGCAGATGCTTGTTGCTTTTTTGTGCATGAAATGGTTCAACACAGATCTTTTTACACTACTGAGTTGGCTTTTACAAACCCCAAAAGATGAAATCTCCCTCCTATAGATGTTCCAGTGTTTAACTAACACGGGGACATTTCATACCTTTGGCAGCTGATTTTGACCTTTTTCTTCCTGTCTTCTGGTTTTCTGTTGGTAAATGTGCATTTGTGACTATTAATAATTAATCTCCAGCATTAGAAGGTCAGTAAGAGATACGTTGCTTTTAGGGCCTGGCTGTTATATTTTGTAAGATACAAATGGTGAGATCAGAAACAACTATTTAAACAGTGTTTAGACTAAAGATTACATTCTTTAAAGGAAAAAAAACTAGCATTAACTATTTATATACTGTCTGATATGTAATTGGTAAAACATGGCTGATAAATGTTTTGGAGGTCATTTCAGAGGAAATTGTACCAAGCTTGTGGAAACTGGATTAGAGGCAAATTAACCCACTGCCATATTGGATGCTCTTGATTTATGAAACGATAAATAAAAAGTGTAAATTATAATCCTGTTGAATAAATCAAGCTGAGTGATATATACATTTTAAAAAAATAAATAAGTTACTTTGAAAGCTAATATTTTTCCACAGCACCGGATGACCATTAATCAGAGGTTCTGAAGGAGAGTTTGGGATGTTCTTGTTTCGCCTTAGAACTGCAGACCTTTGTTAGAAATCGGCATCGTTTTGTGACCTAATTAACTGGCGACAATTCAGAAAATATAGTAATTGACCGAAAGGTTGAATAAATGATTGAGTGCCGATTCTGATTTCAGGAATCATTTCAATTCTCATGTTTTAGAATCAATTCTTTTCGGGGTCCAACCTAAGATTGGGTTTTCTAGTATTAAAAACAAAACAAAGATGCTGTAACCTGAATAAAATGACACTGTAGTTATGCAACAGATTTATACTACTATAATATAGTAAGAAATTATATTTAATGGCAGCTATAGAGTTGTAAATGCCTTTTTTTTTTTTTACATGCAGTCTTTGATTATACAAATTGATCTTAAGAAATTAAATAGAATCTATTCAATATAAAGAGATATATGGTTGTAGAGTTATCTTCTGTTTTTATGTATGTATGTATGTGTGTGTGTGTATATATGTATGTGTATGTATATGTATATATATATATATATATATATATAATAGAAAATTTGTTTATTGTCCCACAATGAGGAAATTGTGGGAAATGTAAAACACCTGAATCCTCTATTGAATACAATGTTAAACATTTTAAATAGATTTTTATCATATTAAATAGACATATAAAATTACATATTAAATTGATTTTGATCTATACCAAGTATTTCTGTCGTAGCAAAGGAAAATGAAAGTTTTGCAAATTAATACGGTACAAGCTTTCCAACATTGCCAATTTTTGGTTAATCTCGATAAAAAACAAACGATATAGACGTTTGTTAGAGCGAAATTCAGACTTTGCATCTTTGTTTCTTGTTAGTTGTTACATTCTGGCGTTTAACTATTTCTTGCAGCTACTCAGTATGGAGATATTTTGTGTTATCACTCATTATTAGGGGTATTACCTTGACTGCCATCGCCTATGCACCCTTTTATATGCTCTCAGTGGAAGAAAGGCAAAGCAGTTTAGTGTAGTAACACAATATGAGGGTAATAGCTATTAAAACAAGACATCTGGGTATAAAATAGAAATAAGAGATGCAATGATCCAGTTTTATCCATTCTGATACCCGGACTGGGCATATCAGGTTTGACACGACCGTCGTTTAATAAAGTCTACAGATGAACACATCCTCACTAGCTGCTGTGCGTGCTCTGCGTCGTGATATAGCCAGCGTTACGAATGTAGAAATAAATTGACTAGATTATTGCAACTGTGTTGCTGTTTGTAGTATTTTTTACTACAAAAAGCAGCAACATTCTAAGAATGACTGAATCAGAATTTTCCGATATCCAATCCAGTTAATAAGTCAATATCGGAGCAAATATCGGATACAAGTATTGAACTGCATCATCATCATCAATAAAAATGAAAAAGCAGAACAATAATAAAATGGTGGGTAATAAAAAAAAAAAAAAACATTTTAAAGGTTAATGCTAAACTAATTGAAAGCAATAATCATGTAATTTTATTATAAAGTCTTTTAATGCATCAAACTTGGGATTCTCTAATTTGTGGTACATGAATGCAGCATCTAATAGCCTGTATCTAAATGCACTTTTTGAGTTTAAACGGATTGATAACATTTATTGGATGAATTGGGATAATTCACATTCTTTTATTTTACATTTTATTTACAGTAACAATTTTTGTCTGTCATGGAACATATGTAATGTTTAGCCTGAGTGAAAATAATCTTATAATTTTTGTATTCATAGGCATTTAGAATAATAAAATAAGACATTGAGCACAACTGTAAACTGTTAACAGCCAGGAAAAGCCTCGTGTCTATTGTTCATCCTTGGGCATTGTTCTGAATGGACTTCCGTTCCATGTTATATTCATTAATCTTTTCATTATTTGCGCTGCTTCCGGCCTTTACATCTCTAATGTGAGAGCTCAAGATGGATTCACATACACTTAGAAACCTAATGGACTCTGGAGGATAGAAAAGAAGCAGCAGCTCTCAGTTGCCTTCACCATGCTGGATAACATTTAAATGATAAAAAAAAGTCTCCGTCTCTTGGACCCTCCTGGGTGTCCAGTTTGTCCCTGCTGTATTTCTTCTATTGTTCACTAAGCACAGGCTTTATACCGAACTTACCCTTCCAGAGGACAAGGATACTGATGGATTTGCCCCCTCGTACTGGAGTCTAGCTGAGTAGGTTAGCTATTTTTATAGCTGGTGTGTGGGCAGGTGGGAGCTGCTGTTGAATAAGTTCAGCTGCAATGCATTGATTCATAGTTCTGTGAACACAGAACCACTCGGCCATGTTCTATCACAGATATACCTGTATTTCTTTTCAAGAAGATGCGTTTCATGTTCGTATCCATGCATCCCTTCACGTGTTACCATTCGGCTGATCATCAAGCGCCTCTTCAGTCCTCTAATCTGAAAACTTACTATTCCAGGGAGAAGGGGGGGGCAGGTGTCCATTTTTAGGACAATTAAAATTATCTAGGTTGCATCCTTGGTTTCAAAACGTTTGCTCCCATTTCTCACCCACCAAAAGCAGGTTCTCTGACTTGTCTCCTTTATTTCCCTGTTGAATACCTTCGCTCAGTAAAGTAGGCCACACCAGAGCCATGCTATGGGGGGGGGGACTTATTCTGCCTGCTGTCATACGTTTTGGTCAGGGTGGCACTCTCCTCTAGCTGGCTGCCAAGGTGAGGATCTAGAAAGATGTT